ACTGCGATTCTAGTGAAACTTTAACTTCAAATTCAAACCCATTAAAGTCTTTTTAGGAAGAACTTTTTAGGCAGTCATTTCTAGAAGAACTCCTAATTGATTTGCAAAGTTTTTTGCATCAGCTACAGGATTTGATGTGAGGGTCTTGCTATCCTTAGCTACTCTTGTTATTTTTGAGTCTCTTATTTTCTCCCCCCCTCTAATGAGTGGACCACTGGAAGCAGGGGATATCACGTGCTAGGTATGTGACAACAGTTTGAGAACCAGATCTTTGGCTTCTAATGGAATAACAAAGTATGTAAACTTCTCTGCGTGTTTTGTGAGTGGCAGTATGAAAGACTAGCACACACGAGGTTTTCCTGTTGTGGAGAACTGGTTTCTGTCCCTGTTTCACCAAGAGATACCACATCACTACAGCTGCTTTTTTAGTGACGTGTGATGCTGTATGGAGGATTGTTCACAGAATCTAAACATCTTTCAGTAAGGAGTTAAGATGGCCTGTCCTGTGGCTGGTATGTCTTTGTGTAGAAGAAACAGTATCTGTAGTGAGGAAGGAAATAAAAGGCATGTCATTCCAGCCCAAAATAAAAGTGTTAAGTGGTTTTTATGGAATGCTACCTTTTACAGGCTTGAAATGGTGTCACTAGTAGCAGAGGCTACTAAGGAGAGAAATCCTCATGTACCATACTCTCTTACTCCGACAAAATAGACTAACTTTTAATTTCAAAAACCCAAAACTTTTCTGAAGACCTCTTTTTTTAATAAAACAGAAGAGAATTTTGGCTTGACATGATTCTGCTTCTAAGATGTTTGTTTCTTAACTACAATGGAAGGCAAAGGGATATGGAATGAATTGCTTCCTTTACAGTGCATCAGAGAGGCCTGGAAAAATTAGAATCCCTTTTAGGAGGAGTAGATGTATATTTGGGAATATTTTTACTGGAGGGTACTGGAAACTAAAATGAGAAGGTTCCCTTGGCCAAATTAGGGCAACCAGCCACAGGATGGGCAACAGGATGCAGCTGTGTTAAATGGTGACTATTTGGGTTTGGTAGCTGTTGCACGCAAGATGCTGGCGTGTTGCCACACGGGATTTTCTAGGAATGGTATGGCTACATGTACCTGATGTGGTCCACCCAATTTCTCTCCTGTTTCAGGAAAGGTGTAGGATACATTCTGAAAATCTTGTGTCTCCTTTGAAATGGAAAGTATTCTTTAGAATACTTTAGAATACTTTTAGAATACAGACCTTCCCCCGAATGCTGACTTTCAGTTACACATGTCACTGTTGCACTGATGGTCACTGGATTTAAGTCCAATCTAGCTCTTGCTTTTTAGATGCTTTCCAGAATTACCTGCTGTGATCAAGTCCAGCTGAGGAAATGATGAAGTTGTTATTTGTGAAACCTTGTGATAGCTTCTCCTTCTGTTTCTCTTGCAGCACAGCTTGAAATGGGCTAAATAGAATACTGGAAGCTCTTGTATTTGTGGAAGTTGTATTCTTGGCCTTAGAAACTAAATTAAACTTGGAAGTTTCCAGCAGAAAGGTTTCTTTGGTTTATATTAGTGCACTAACAGGAGTCACATCCCATTAGGGTGGAATAAATTAGCCAAGGGAAAATAGGCTTGTTAGGTTTCTCTGCAGTCCTTGAGACCTGATGGACAGCATTAGTTCTTGCAAACGTTCCTGGGCTGCCTTATTATTACGGTATGAGCATGCTTAGCTGGGGTGCGTGACTGCTCCGTCACCTCTTGCTCACTGGGATGTTTGCCCTACCAGCAGCAATAGCTTCAGTGTGTTTTCATGAAATCACCCTGTGGCTTAATTGTGATCCACCACCCAAAGCCCTTATGCAATATGGTTGGCTTCAACACAGCTCAGCTGAAAAGGTGAGGCAAACAAAGATGGAAGGAAACTGCCGTCTTCTCCCCAGCAGCAAACCAGTACTGCAGTTCTAGGACCAAAGTGGACTGCTTCTGGTCCTGTGAACTTGATCTCCTCTCTCTGGATCTTTGGAGATAGAGGTCCTCTAACAGACCATGGCATCCAGCAGGAGAAACAGCAAATGTCAGGGCTTGCTCCAAAAGGCAAGGACAGGTCTTTGTTGCTAGTTTTATAAAATTATATAGTGAGTATTTTTTATAAGTCTATGCTCTCTTGAAGTGTGGATGGATAGATATCTTTATTATAGGTTAGATTTTGTGAGAATGGCACAAGGATTAACTGGGGACCTGAGTGAAGAGTAAATACTTCACCATCACTGTTGCTGTTGACCATTTCTAATTTGCCAAGAAAGGAAGGAAAAAAGAAACTCCCAAATCCCAACCTTCTCTACTTAAAACTGGGTTCTAACAAGAGAGGATGGCAGTGAGAATCTTCTATGTTTTTTCCGCCTTCATGACTGCAGATAGCCCTGTCCTGCCCCGCTCTTCATGGAAGTGCAAAAAGGGATGATAGAAAGCAGAGAGCTCCCTGACACGTGGCATGCTGGAACGGTTGGAAGGAACAGCATTGCTTAGATTCAGGGTGGGGGAAAAGTGTTCCAGTTTACAAATGCATACTCCAAACTCTTGGTTGTCTGTTAACTGATTTCATTACTACTTTGATGGCCCAGAATACTCGTGAAGGTAGTTATTCTGGGAGAGGAAACTTGCAATCAGTAAAATCAGATTTGAAGCATTGTTAGACTGGCATGTAAGGTCCTTCCTAAAAAAGGCACAGGTGGACAGGACTTTCCTATAAAATATGAGAGTCATTATAGTGACTCCCAAAGGCTTTACGAGTTGGTCTGAAAGGACCTGTAGTATGACAGGAATGTAAACCAGCTGACAAATTTGATAGTGACTAACTTGAATAAAACTATAAGAGGCAGGAAATTCTTCTGTCAGTTGCAGGTACAAGCTGTTCCTTGTTCCTGGGCCTTGTAGAGACTCACTTTAGGCTGAACTTCTCCTCTTGAGTTGTTTCTTTTCCCCGGCTGATGATTGCAGAGAAACTGCAAAGTTGCTACAGACACAATAGGCATGTGCCTCTCTAGCGCATTCACTGAAATTGCAGATTTAAGAGGGTGGTTGAGCTCTAAAGTGACAGCCTTTGCTTCTGAACAACTCAAGTAGTTGTCCAAACCTCTTCAAAATTACTTAATTTTTGACCAGAGACTCAGTGGTGTTGATTATAACCTCTTCCCTACAAACACTCTCAAAAAAAGGTATATCTAAATAATCATTCAGCCAGACCTGGTCACACCCTCAGTACTGGGCAGCTTCTGGTGTGTTTTTTTCCGCGATAACGCTCAGCCCGTGTCTGTTTTGCCTGACGTGCATTATAGCACTGGAAGCTATGCAGGCATCTGAGTTACACAGCTGTGCTTCTGGTGGAATTGGTTCAATTCTGAATTAAAGGATCAGCCTTTTGACTAGCAGAGTAAATGACTAGTTCTGGTGATGACGTTTGTCTGCAAAATGGCTCTGTGAAAGTACTAATAGCGTCCTTTTTACTGCAGGCAAAGACTGAAGTCTGCCATCTGCAAGAAAGAGCAGACCACCACAAAACCCAGTCAAGCCATTTTTATTGCTTAAGAAGTCGGATCCTCAGTAATGTATAACAATACACAGACCTCTTTTTGGGGGTGCAGGTGGGAGAGGAAACTAAAAATAACAAAAAAAGTGAGACTTTGTGTGAATGATCCCGTTCAGCTGCTTTAATTGCTTGGGTAGATTGGGAGTGGTGCTGGGGAAGGGGAGAACTGTAGGCACTGGTAATGAAAACTACCATAGGAGTAACGCGATCCTGAATCACAGTGGCGTGTTTGCCTACCACGTAAGATTTATATTAAGGGGTGGGGAGGACTATGAAGTTGGAAAAGGGAAACTAGTTGGCTTTTATAACGTGGATCTAGATATTGTTTGAGGTGTTACTGTTTGTGTGACACTTACTGAATATCCAGAGTGACTTTGGGGCTGGCTGGGGCAGGTAGATGTCTTGCTGTGCCTGTGGAGTTTTGCTTCCAAGCTTATCAACATACCTCTTCTACAAATAAAACTTAGGGCAGTTGAGTGACAAGCTAAGCAGTCTGTTGTGTCCTTGAGGCAACTCTCGTCTTACGTTAAGACTATTAGAAATGTCTTAATAGTACTAATTTTTTGTTCTGGCAGTCTAACGAAGCAGCTGTTTAGACACAGGACAGGCTCCGTAGAGCCTGGCTGATTTTTCTGCTCCTGTCAGCTTTATTCCTGCAGTATTTTGCTTTGTGTCCTGTGTTAGTCAGTGGCGTGCTCAGCACAGTTTTAGGCAAACAGTCCTTGTTGCATAGGTTGGTGGACTTAGTACTTAGATACTCGTTGCATGCCCTGCAAGGCCAAAGCATTGGGTTCGTGATTCAAGATCGATTAGCATTTGTTGGCCTTGTGAAAGAAAAGGGTATTTTTAAAACAGAATTAGGTTTGCCGGGGCCTTTTAAGTGTAGGTGGCAGAGCAGAATGAAAACGGGGAATGTGGGTCTTGCAAAGTGGGAAACCTCAAGACAAATGCAGGCAGCAGTATATTTATATAAGGGAACAATATACGATAATTTGTATATTTTCAGAAAATGGAACAAAAAAAATGAACTAGTTGTCGTCAGTTTTTGTAACAGGGCTTGAAGATGTGGTGTTGGTGTTTATCATTTAATGTACCAGGCAACACACTAATGTCTGGTGACGGCAATTCCAAATCTGGATACAGAAAATTCAGCCATTCTAATAAAAGATAAAGCACAGCAAATACATCCTTCTTTTATACTCTTTGACCAGTTCTTTGGGCAGTGATAGGAATGAAATTGTTTGGATTGCTGGAGGATTTGAGGTCCTGATAAATACCAGCATTTTAACCAGGTCCCAAGGCAGTGGCCGAGGTGAACACGGTGTTGTCTCTGAGGTGAAGCTGGCTGAGATGCAGTACGTGTGGAGAACTCTGAGGCTGCTGATCTGATTCTTGTTTGTTTTTTCTTCTTTCAGATGGAAAGAATGCGAGTGGATCCAAACAGCGTTATAATCGTAAAAGAGAAACTTCATATTCAAAAAATGAGAACTTTTCCAGTCAGTCCCGTCGCTCCAATTCACAGAAAAGCAAAGCTTTTAACAAGATGCCCCCTCAAAGGGGAGGTAGTGGCGGAAGTGGCAGACTTTTTAGCTCTTGTAATGGTGGAAGACGAGATGAGGTGAGAATTGTAATGCCGTGCCTCCAAGGCCTTCTTTCTTGGGACGAGAGGATCACTCTGACCTGCCTAGATAGGTCTTCTGTGTTCAGCTCCTGGGCTGGGAAGGGAAAGAGCGGTAAGAGGTGCTAACATCGTTGAGATGCCAGAGTCTGCGTGAGCAGAACAACTTTGCAACAACAGAAGAGGAGTGCTCTCTGCTCTGAGAGACTTGCAATAAAAAATACCATCTGAGGAATGGTTACCTAGACAGGCCATGTACATATCTCATGAAACAGAGGTCCTTCATGAAAATAGTGATACAATTTCTAGGTTTTATGTGTGAGGTGATTGCATCTAACCACTTCAGTGTACAAATTTGCATGTGGTGGTAGTATTGGGAAAGTAATCGTATTAGCCTTGATGACATCAAGATGAAGTGAAACAACACTGAGGCATTTACGCTGATGTGGGTCTGAATACTGTAGACTGTCGGTGGCTTTCATTGACACAGAACTGCTTTTTTTCAGTTTTAGTGGATGAGCAGTACTGCTCACCTAAATTACTGACTCCGTAAAAAACTTACCTGCTGTCTCTGTTGAATTCTCAATTCTTTGCTTCATTATATGAAAACTAACCAAAACAAGTACAACCTGTGCAAATAGTAATCAGACTTGTATTACTGGCCGTCTAAAAGAATGTCAGGATTCGAACAACTTTCTTCTGTTATTAACCTTGACTACTAGCTTTTGCCAGCTTTTACTTGCCCTTGTGTGGGTTATTTTTGTGCTCTCCTCCTTTTGATCAGTGTGGGGTAAGACCACTCAGTTCTAACTTTCAGGTTCTCACGTGCTTCTAACGCTGCACTGCTTGATTTGCAGAACTGGAATGGGAGAAGGTGAGTGAGTGGATGCTGCGTATTCTGTACGTAATCACTGATGGGGCCTGGGTATCAACTTGTACTGATGCTTTTGCAGTAAATTCTAGCAAGTTCTAACAAATGCTGTTGTCTCTTAGGTAGCAGAGGCTCAGCGGGCAGAGTTCAGCCCTGCCCAGTTCTCTGGTCCCAAGAAGATTAATCTGAACCACTTACTGAACTTCACTTTTGAACCCCGTGGCCAAGCAGGCCATTTTGATGGGAATGGACATGGCAACTGGGGAAAAAGGAACAAGTGGGGACATAAGCCTTTCAACAAGGAGCTCTTCCTACAGGCCAAGTGAGTGGAAGACCAGCAGGGCTCTTAGACCTCTACAGAGACACTGAGCTGTAAGGGGTGATCAGCCAGGGAGTTGTGTTTGACCTTGACTACTCATACTGACTTTCCCAGGGTGAAGTTACCTCTCCATGGTGTTTCTAGTGGTAACGACTGTACTCGAAAGGGATAAAAATATATCAAGTTGTCATCTTTTCCTATTTACAAGATATCTGATGGAGTGAGTCCTTTAGATACAAACCAATTAGTCTTCTGCTCTAATTTTTTTAGCATCGTTTGTGGAATATGACATTCCATTTGGGAAGACCTGTGTAGTTCCCTTATGGAAGATAGTTGTTTTTTCCAAAACGTAGTCTGTTGAGATGGTGGGGTTAGCAGTCGCTGCACGAAAGCGGATCTGAATTTCTAAGCCCCAGAAGCAATTATTCGTATGGGTCTTAGTTCTTAAACTGCTGATTATTTCACAGGCCCCTGGATATGTAGTATAACCCAAATGATGATCAGGGTAGTAATCCAGCAGGAGAATTGCTTTTGACTGGAAATAATGGTCACTTTCACTGGAATTTGAAGTGTGTTCAGGGCTTCCTGTATCTCATTGTGTTAAAGATAAGAAAACCTATTTTCAGCATTGATGCTTCTAATTTTTCCCTATCGTTTTGTGGCTTATTGTGGTGAAGTCTATTTGCAGGAATCCCAGTAGTTCTAGTTTTTGTGAGCATATTTTTTCCCACTTATGGATTCCCTGTTTTTTAACAGATCCCTGATGGAGCTGGCTGTTTCTTACATGTTTCTGGAAAACCACTCTGGCTCATTCTTTAGTTAGTATGTGAAGTTGTGTCTAATTGAAATTAGACACACCTGTATTCTGAAAATCTGGTTGTGCATTGAACTCTTTTGGGTTTTGTTGGTAGAAGTTACTGACTGTGTCCAGCAGTTTTCTGCTGGACAAAGAAGAAGCTCAGAGAATCCTATAGGATAGTTCTCAAAGAATTTTTAGAAACAACTGAGTGGATCATCTGTCTCTTTGCCTTTCCCCAGCTGCCAGTTTGTTGTCTCTGAAGAACAGGACTACACAGTCCACTTTGCTGATCCAGATACCTTGGTCAACTGGGACTTTGTGGAGCAAGTGGTCAGTTGTGATGGGCTAGATGTTTTGTGGGGTTTTTTTCTTATTAAGAAGCTTAACCTGTCTTTAACTGCCTCTTTATCTCTGTGATGTTACGTAAAACTCAGCTGTTTTTGAGTTGAGGCCTCTTCTGTCACTCCCACAATACTGGGAAAGATCTGTCATGGAATATATTATGAAATACTTTCATGACAGGAAAAAGAGAAGTGCTAAAATCTATTAGGAAAATTAGCAGCTTCTTCTTGCTTTCGCAGATGGGAGCTCATCAAAAATAGTATCTGACATTCTGTAGACAGAGTCCTTGTGATGGAGATATTAACAGAAAACTTGGGCATGAGTCCATGGAAGAGGACTAGAGTGTAAAATTTTGAAGAATTATTTTGTGCATAGGTGGCCCATCGTGCCTAGCAACAAAATGGAAAATCTCTTGAGAATTGCGGTCAGAACTTTGGGTTGCCTCAAGTAGAAACTTATCTGCCAAGACTAGTCTTGGTGTATGGTGTAGCTGGAGAGGAGGTAGGTTTACTGCTACCTGATGCTACAAGAAAGCTGACAAATTTAGGTGCTTGCCTGGCATTTATGTCTTTGCAACATACAGATGCTAACAAAGTGTCTGACTAAACTAGCATGTTCATGGAAATAGGTAAGTTCAGTCTTCCAGTTAAACAGGTCTGCACAAGCCTGCTTGTGCAAGTGAGGCCGCAGGGTTCATTTGCTGTCTTCTCAGTGTCTGAATTCGGGTGATGAAGATGCTGCTAAGTCTTAGAGATGATGAACACATGAGGAGAAACATGAGAAGAGTCATTTTTTTTAATGTCATTAGAGTAGTAATACCAGATGGGTGGCTTTGAAGGTTATTCCATGTGCAGACTGAAGGTGTTACTTAGTTCACAGTGTACTTAATTTCTTGGTAAAAAAGCAGAGCCTCAAGAGCTGAAAGATTAATATGTTAGAGTAGATCTTACAGAGTGGCTTATTCTGTAGCACAGGAACTGATTTCCAAGTCTAAAACTTGTACTATTTTTCTCATGTGCCATTTCAGCGTATTTGTAGCCATGAAGTGCCCTCCTGCCCAATATGTCTATACCCACCAACTGCAGCAAAGATCACCCGCTGTGGGCATATCTTTTGTTGGGCATGTATCCTTCACTATCTCTCCTTGAGTGAAAAGACCTGGAGTAAATGTCCTATTTGTTATGGCTCTGTTCACAAGAAGGATCTCAAGAGGTGAGACTTGATATTTATTAAATGATGCATCTTCTTGAAGTGTTATTTTTACTCTACTAACTTCTTCCTTACGTTACAGTGTTGTTGCTATGGAAACACGTCAATACGCAATTGGTGATATCATTACAATGCAACTTATGAGAAGAGAGAAAGGTGTTCTGATAGCACTGCCCAAATCTCAGTGGATGAATGTGGTGCAGCCTGTTTACGTGAGAGGTGAGTGTATCTGCGTACTGGTCATTGGCATCCTGCTGCTATAACTAGGACATGCGTATTGAGGATTTACCATGGCAATACCACGCTGTCAACATTAAAATAAACCAGACTAGAAAACATGGGGCTTAGCAGCTGAAAACCTTAATGACCACATATTAATAATAAGCTTTCTACCCACATTTTGGGTTTTGAAAGGCATTAACTTGTGCTGTTTCCCTTCAAGCTACTGTGCCACAGACTCCTGCCTTCTCGGTCATTGGAATTAGTTCGATGTGTGTTTTGTATCCTGTGGTCATTGGTGTGACTCTTGCTGCTTGTGTTGGCTCTTCAGTGTCCTTAACTTTTTTTCCTCCTGGCTCCTCATTATACAGCTTAGCAAAAATAACTGTCTCTGTGTCTAAACTATTTCGAGGATGTAATCTTCAACAAGGTTTTCGTCATCTTCACTTATCAACTAAAATCTGTGAATGATATGGGAAAATAATCAAAATTATTGCAAACCTATTCCAAACATCTGTTGCCTGACTTCTTCAGTTTTCTCCTGTCAAGTTATGTCAAGATAACACATCGTCATCTTATCTGTTAGTATCACAAAAATTTTGTGACTAAAGAAATAATTTCACTTAACATTGCTGTTTTGTGGGCTGTCTTGGCTCACTTCATTTTGCAGTCACACTTGTGAAAGGCTGCATGCATTTAAGCTCTCTGTAAAAAAAAGTCAAGTCTCCTAACGCATGATGGGTAGGCAGCAGGCAGGGTGTGTGCTTACATGTTTCTCAGTATTTGAAAGTAAAGGACTTTAAATCCTTTCATAAAACAAACTAAAGAACAAAATGGAATTTGAGATCGTTCTAAACCCAGGGAATTCGGCATTAATTTGGTGTTCTGTAGAAAAGGTTGGACCTTGGGGAGCAGTGAATATGGGGACTGTACTAGTATGTGATGCTGTGGTTGCTGTAAAGTTTATAGTTAAGATAAGCTCTCTAGTAACAAAGACGACTACCTTTTGCTAAACTTGCAATTCTATAGCTTGCTATTTTTTGCTGTGCTTCTTGTAAAAACCTCATAATGATGTTTTGTATGGATTTTTAATACATATGGGCTTATGAACTAGTTAGAACCAAAACAGTGGTTGCTTTTGCAGAACTTTCCAGTTGCAGTGCTTTTGAGTATGCAGAGAAGGGGAAGAAGCTGCAGACTGCATTGTTTCAGGAAGTTTTGACCACCCAAGGCTTCTCAAAGATGCTGCTTCCACAGCATAGAAGTTTAGACTTGGTTTAGTTTTTCTGGATGTGTAGCAACCGAGTGGTGAAGTGGCAGGTTGAAAGTGGCGGATAAACTGCTGTGTGGGGTAGATGTGTGTGGCAGAGCAGGTTCGTGGCACCAACTTGTGTCATCAATGATACAATGGTAACATGCAAAGTCTGCGTCAAACTCTTGCTAAGTATTGTCCACCCTGGGCTGGATTAACCTGCAAAATAGAGCAGTAACAAAACTTGAGAAGAAATAGCAGTCCAAACTGGTGCCTCTACATGCAGATATTAATGATTTGGTGCTCCTTCTGTTCAGATGACCAGCACAGTCAGTATTCAAAGCTGCTTCTGGCATCCAGGGAGCAAGTCTTGCAGCTGGTGATTCTGGAGGAGAAAGCGGCATTACTAAAACAGTATGAGGAAGAAAAACACACCCCAGAGGCTTGCTTTATTGAGGCGGCTATCCAGGAACTGAAGGTGAGAACCTCTTTGGAGGCTTTTAGTGACTTTAATTTTAACAGTATGCTGACTGCTGAGCATCTATGCTCTGCCACGTAAGTGATTCTGTGTGATTATTCTGATCTTCATGATGTATGTACTAGGAGGGTGGTGATGGTTGCTGCTAGAACAGAATTATAAATCTTGGAGGAGACTATAGCCTTTGGACCCCAGGTATCTGGCGTGATGTTCAAGATAACAGAACTGAATGCTTTTTATTGAATGGTATTCCACAAATGTAAGAGAGTTCTGCTTTCCAAGGAAGATGTGTTTTCCTTTCAGGCCCAACAATTTCTGGGATAACTTTTATCAGGCAGACATGAGTAAACCTGTAGAATACTCCTTTTCAAAGCCTTTAGGGATCCTATAGTGACTGTGCTTTCTGGTAACAAGGAGAGGGCCTCCCTTCAAGGGTCACTCTTTGTCACAGATGAATTATAGATCTGTGAAAACCAGAAGTATACGGCAAGGCTAAAAATAACTGTGGTGATGGTCTCTTGGCTTAAACAGGAAATTGAAACTTGTTCTCTTTGGCCTGTAGGAGCGAGAAACAGCACTTTCTGCTGACCAGGGTAAAAACAGTGGCATTGCTGGAGTCAGTGCAGCTGTGGAAGAATTGGTCCTAGAAAGCTCCAAGGTTGTGGAGCCTGCAGTTTCCCAAGAGAAAAAGGTGGGTGACGACTCCGCTCTGGCAGATCTTGTTAGTAGTTAATTCCGCCACTTTACACTGCAGTGTATGGTGAACTGGTGCCAAAGATTTTTGCAGAGATGATAATCTTTTGAAGGAGGTGATGTGGTACTAACTGTACACTCTCTGCTGTTATAGTGTGGTGTGGAATATCTCTCTGCATTTGATGAGGAGCTTGTGGAGCCTTGCTCTGATCTGGCAAGCTCCTTTTCACCTCCTGTGGAAGCAGAAGAGGCAGTACTGGTTGAAGAGGAAGTACCTGAGGTGGACACTGTAGGGGAATCTGACACGAACACTACAGAAGAACCAAATCCAGCTGAAACAGGCTACCAAGAATCAAAAGATAGAGTTAGCAGTGGACATCTTAACAACTCTCCTTTTTACTATTTCTATCAAGGTCAGTGCAAGGAAATCCTGGAGTCATGGGGGCAGAGGTGCCTCCTTTGGGATCTTCTTGAGGAAGATGTTTGTCACTTCATTAGATGCAGCTAAACCCTGTGAAATACAACTCCCACAGAAACTCAGAAAGGAGCTTTAATTTTATTACTGGAGAATGTACTGAGTTGGGGAGAAGGGTGTTGAAAATTAACAGGCAAAGAACAAGTGATGATATCTTCTCTTATAGCGGAGGATGGACAGTGTATGTATCTTCACCCTGTGAATGTTCGATGTCTTGTTCGTGAATACGGTAGCTTGGAGAAGAGCCCAGAGAAGATAACTGCAGCTGTAGTGGAGATAACTGGCTACTCAATGACAGAGGTAGTTATTGTATTATTAATTAAGAGCCTTTGTTTTAGCAGACTGATCATTGTGGCTGAGAGGTGAGACTTGTTTCTCTTCACTAATAAAAAATAATAACTATGAATGAGTAGGCATGCTAATCTGTGAAGGGCGTCGGTGTAAGGTGCAGTACTTTAAGTTGCTTTTGGTAAGTAGGCTGCAGTCTAGCTTTTTTCCCTAGAAGATAGGAAGTTCTGAGTAAGAGAATTGGAAGCTTAAGATTGGTTTGTTGTTAAAACTGTCTTAAATTCTTTTCTCCTATAAGACAGTAGCTTGAACTAGACAGATGATCATCTTTCTCAACCTGAAGAAGTGTTCTGCCCCTGTCTTGAACAAACAGTTGTTTCTGAGCATCAAGGGTAGAGGTGGGATGTTATGAAAATAAAAAGGATGGAAAGAAACTTCAGCGTTTGAGATGGAGGGAGTGAAAGTGCTTAAGGCACTGAAGCTCTGGAAGAGGGGATGGGTCCTGACTTCCTTGACTTGGATAAAGACAACTGTAAGAACTGGCATGTGCAGTAACAACTATACATAATTTTTAATTCATCTTTAAGAAAGGATATGCTCAAGTGAGAATGGATGCGGAGGTAGTAAAGAATTGTCTTCAAGATTTTCTGCTCTGCGAGGAAAAAATACAAAACTCAGCTCATTTCAGTCTAGCAAAGTGGTGGTTGTTGGTGCAAATAATTTAAGTGTAAAAGGCAAATTTGGTCCAGTGCAAAAATAAATGAATTGGAGGACTAGTATTGTAGAATTTCCAGCGATGTGAGTGAGAAGGGAGGAATAACAAAAAAATCAGTAACTGAGCTGGAGTAAATGCATCCAAATCTGATTATGATGTGGTTGGTGGAGATTTTGGAGCATTTGGTTGTGACCCAGAGCATCCTTCATGTGTTTGTAGTTTATAAAGTCATTATTGTGTCACTGCTGCTATTTTTTTCCCATTTGATTTGATGAAGGGTGTACATTCTGTCTCTCTACGCTATTCATCACTGTGCCAGCCTCTAGACCTTGTGATGATATATATGCTCTTTTTTATCAGGATATAAGACAGCGTCATCGTTACCTCTGTCACTTGCCCCTCACCTGTGAGTTCAGCATTTGTGAACTGGCCCTGAAGCCACCCATTATCTCTAAGGAGACTTTAGAGTTGTTTTCAGGTTGGTACTACCTTTCTAGTAGGCTCTGTTATGTATCTGTGAGGGTGAAAGGGAAGTCATTCTTACCCCTTAATGGCAGAAAAAAGAACATACACAGCAGCTTTACTCCACTTGCACCAACTGTCTGATGACTACTAGACAGAACAAACTCAAATCACTGTTTTATAGGCAACAATTATCCAAAGAAGAAAAAAAGCCTGACTGCTTGGAAGAGCATATGTTGTTTGTAAGCATGTTTTGTTACTAATGTGTTATAACTGAATATGTTGTTCTCAAAGCTGGAGAAAACATTGCCAAAGTATTGGTGTGGGTTTTTTGATATCCAGTGCTGTGTTTTGCTCCTAGATGACCTTGAAAAGAGGAAACGTCTACGGCAGAAGAAAGCTCGTGATGAACGACGACGTGAACGCAGAATTGAGATAGAAGAAAACAAGAAACAGGGCAAATGTAAGTCATGATTGAGCGTAACTGGTGGATTTCCATTCATTTTCAGTTGCTGAACTGTAGGATGAACTCAAAGGCCTTTAGTTTGTAGGGTGTACTTAGAACAAGATGACATGGTATTAGAAACATTTGTAGAGTGAAAAATAGAAGCTGTTTTAGTCAGGATGTTAAATGATGTTATGCAGTTCCTGCATACTTGTACATTATGGGAGAGTCAGAGGGCATTTGAGGGCGCAGCTATCTCCATGGTGTATATAGCTCTCAAGATTCCTAATTTCTGGTTTTATAGTAATAACGATATAGAGTGAAAAGTGAAGAAGGGAAAAAAAAAAAAAGCCTAGGAACTGCTTCCATCCAGCAGCAGGGCTGCACTGGTCTCTAAAATAGAGGGTGGAAAGAAAATTGAATTCGCACCTCCTAGACTCCTGAAACAACTTACATATTGACAGTCTTCCCCCGCATTTTGTAGTGCTTTAATTTAAAACCTCTTTCTAGATCCAGAGGTCCATATTGCTTTAGAGAATCTGCAGCAGTTCCCCGCTTTTACCTCTTGTCCCGGAGAAACTACCAGCATTGATCATCAGAGCTTCCGTCTGTCTCCTCTTGGCAGAAGCCCTGTGTTTCAGACAGGTGAGCATCTGGAAAAACACATCGTATCTAGCTGATTGTTCTTTTGGTATCTACTGCTCAGCTTATCCTGCTAAACTTTCTTAATACTGATCAAAGGCTGCTTCTTCCCTAGATTGCCTGTGAGATCATACACAAAAGGCTGCCATGGCTAAGAGACATTCTGGTCCTTTGTCTGCTTTTTACTACCTCTACTTCAGTGACAATATGAGACCTGCAATGTAGTTACCGTCTTTTAAATTTTTGCTGAGGCAGAAAAAAAGAAAGGAAAAAAAATTCCCCAAAACCAGAAGAAAAGTGTGTATGCCAGGAAAACACTACTGGCATTTTTTCTTTCTACCTTCTCCATCTTCCCCGCCATCCTATACTACAGTAGAATGCAGTTGATGAGCACTCAGCTTGTTGTCCAATGATGCTTTACCAAATGTTTTATCTTCCAGTTCATAAAAAATACTAAATAGAAACTATTCTTAAATGTTTTCTCAAAAGAAAAAAAGCAAACAAACCCTTACAACACCCCAAAATAAGCAAACAAAACCCCCCAACCAACCAACCTCCCCTCCAAACTTAAATCTCCCTTAAATAAAAAGATTGAAGAAATTTGAGAGGTCCCACTGTGTGACTAATGGATGGAACTGTTGAGATAAAAATGGTTGATTACATAAGATAATAAAACTTTATTTCTGTTTCTTCCTGATAAACAGTGTGAGTGCCTTTGCCAAATGCAACTGGCTTTAATTATCTGCTCTTTCTCTGTAGAGTCTATTCCAACTCCACTGTCACCTGCTGCCAGCCAGGTCAGCCCGTTGCTCTGTGGGAGTTTAGAAGAAGAGTCTCCCTTCCCTTCCTTTGCCCAGGTAAGCCATGTAGCAGAGTAAACCTTGTCAGAATTACTTGTGTCTTAGTTGGGGATTAGTCTGAGAACACAATTGCTTCCCCCACAGAAATGATGTGGGATAAACTTTATGGGGACAGCATAGGGCTTGAGTGCTTGAAGGGGTTCCTAGATTTTCTTGCCACTTAGGGGATATGCAGGACTGTTCTAGTACATGGGATTTAATCATATCTTACAACTTTCTTCGTAGATGTTGAGAGTTGGAAAGGCAAAACCGGAAACATGGCCCAAACCTGCTCCAAAGGCAAGAGGTATGACAATTTGCTATTATTACTCAGATTCTTTACCATGCATCTAAATCTAAGAAATCTTGTGACTTCACAAGAAACATCTGGAGTGTGGAGGGGCATTTGCACTGCAGAAGTTTTATACAGCCTTCTGCCTCTCAAGGCCCTTTCCTTATTTCAGATGAGAACACTCTGGCACTCCCTGTGCCTGTCGATAGTGATGGAGAGAGTGACAGCTCTGACCGCATACCTGTGCCCAGCTTCCAGAATTCCTTCAGCCAAGCTATTGAGGCTGCTCTCCTGAAACTGGACAAACCGTCCACAGCTGATCACTTATCAGGTAAAAGGCGAGGGAAGGTGTGAAAAATTTCTGAAGTGAAAAAATTGAGCATTTCTCTTTCTTCCTCTGGGAGAAGTGAGAGCAGCAATTTTGGGGACCATAAATTGGCTGCTCAGCCATTCTGAAAATTGTCAGAAACGTGGTTTCTGAACAGCTTGACTAGGGCTTCTGTTAGCTTAGAGCAGCTCTCTTAGTGGGAGCTGAGAAGATCTCCAACTAGCAAAGAATCCTGTTAGGAGAAAGATGGCTTTTGACTACCATGTTTGCTATGTCTCTACTGGAACTTTAAATTAAGCTTTATCTCAAGGAAGTTCAGGTTATGCTCTTCTAGACTAAACATACCTGAGCTGCTGAACTACCATTTGAATTTGACCAAAATGTCAAGGTAACTGCTGCTGAAATTTCAAATTAGGGAGTCTGAAACAAATTGAGATGACCTTAAACCTCTAAGCCTGGTGTTGGCTGATATAACTCATCTATAATGCTCAGTTCTGATGTTTAGCGTTGGCTTCTGTTTGGAGACTTCACTGCATGATGGAGAGTTGGATGGGAGGGCCTGGGAGTTTCAGTGAAATCAAGTATCGGCTCCGGTTGTGTTTTGGACATGGATGAAAGTGCTGCCTGTCTGAAAGGCAAACTGCTGTACGCTTGCAGTCCAGGATCTGCTGTTGCAACAGCAACTTTAGAATCAGTCAGGTATGTTTATAGGTGTGGTTTAGGTGTGACAGAGCCTGCCTTAGTTTGTCTGCAGTGATTTTTTTGGTTAAAATTAAACTACCTGGTGCTCAGTGAGTTGATACAAAGTGTCACAGACCTGTAGAAGTCATTTAGGCTAGGGAAGACCATTTATCATTTCTGTGTGATGTTCCTGTTCCATGAGAAGAATGACAGTATCATTTTAATTCTTCACAGAGGAAAAGGGAGGCAAGAAAAGAAAGAAACAGAAGCAGAAGCTATTGTTCAGCACCTCTGTTGTTCACACAAAGTGATTCTGCTATTCAAGAGAAGTTTCCTCTCCTGGTTTTCTTTTCATTTTGCTTTGTTTTGCTGCTATAGTTTAAGTATTTAAATTTGAACAGACTAAACTTGTGTTTCCAGGGCTTCTAGGGGGGTTCAGGAGGAAACCATGACAGTATATGTTGAAACAAGATCTTTTTATTCCAACTGCTTAATCAGTTTATACTGAAACAAAGTTTTGAAAGAAACAACCCAGAGACAAATCAGCTAAGACTTCTAGTCTGTGCCAATTTGGTTCTTTTGGCCAAATAAGCAGTATAAAAGTCTTCACAGCTGTGTGGCACTGCCGGAATACTGCAATATTACCTAAGTGAAGAGGCAGAGAGCCTT